CACACACACACAAGGACACATTTACATCATAATGCTAGAAAATTGACCCATTTGAATGGAGATTACTAATAACTGACAGATTTTAGTCCAGTTCTAAAGAGCTCTTCCCCTTGCACTAGGATGCTTCTCTGGTCTCACTCTTTATAGGCTCCAAAGTGATTACTTGCTAAAGACAGAGCGTGAAAGGTCCAGACTGCTGAACCTGAACATAAAGGCCTCCTTGTTCAAATCAACCTTTCCTAGAACACTGGAGCAAAAGCAAGGATATGCCAAGAGCTCTGTCAAGAAGAGAACCAGACGTACTGGAGTGTATCAAAAAAATTAAAGGTTCGGAATAAGATCTATTTTGTTCCTAGAAAATGCTGGATTGCGTGGGAATGTAAAAAGCAGCCTGGAGTAAGAAGAAATGTTGTATTTTAGGCTGATAAATACAAATGAAACTGGAATTCTAAGAGACCCTTGGGTCCGTTTGTTGCGTTGAGACTTTCTGAAATGAAATTATCTAGTCCTGTTCGCCTAGAAAGGGGGCCTTTTGGAAGGAGGCTTTCAGTGTGAACAAAGCCAAGGCTGCAAAGTGAGAGGACTCTCTCAGCCATTTATTAACGCCAAATATGCTGTCTGCATGAATTGGGCAGTTTGTCTCTTATGGAAGCCCTACAGAAAGCCATCTAGTGCACCTGCCCTGCTGAGCACTGCCTCACGCTTTGGGTTAATGGTGTCCGAACAGTTTAGCTGCGTTCTGAACAGTTTGCCCTGCAAACAATTTTTAAAAGGCCTTTATTGAACCACCATCAGCAACCAGACTATGCAGAATCTCATCAATATACAGAAAAGGAAAAGAAAACAAGGTCCAGCCCCAATTATTTGTCACTTAATACGATCTAGCTAGCACGAGTACTGTGTCAGGTTCTCTCTCCAGTAGAAGAGTTTAAAGGAAGTTTCCCAGTGATGCTCTGAAAAAAAAAAAAACCAAATAAAATGTTTGTGGGAAAGCAACAAGAAGGAAGAAAATACCCACCTTTCTCTTTGGCGGCACCAGATATCCTAGCCATGGACCTAAGGGAAGCAGTGCGGGAGGAAGAAAAGTGATAAATTGTGCACAGCCAATCACTTAGAGAATTAATCAACAAATGTGTGTTTAGGGGCCAGCCCTGTTTGTTCTGTGCAGAGGAGAATAGAAACAACCATACAGTATATGACAACTTGGTTAAGACGCTGCTGAAAACAAGGAAAATATTTAGCTGATTCCTACTATTCTGCTTAAAAAAAAAAGTCTTTCCGCCCATGAAATCACATCCCAATGTGGTTTTGTTCCTACTCTAAAATAATTGCTCCTCCCTCCACCCCTCACCATATAAAAATGGTTTGTATCCCCATGTAACTCTCCAATACAGAGGTGACAACTGTCTGAAGCCAAGGGATCACCAAAACTCAGCTCCCTATCATGGTTCAGTTTTAACTGGAGGTTGGAAACAATAAAAGTTCTCCTGGAAAGCTTGGAGAGACTTGCAAGCAGTCACTAAAGACAAGGGTTTGCCTGTAGGAGGCAATACTCAGCAGGTCTCCCTATACTTCTCAACTGAACCGATGTGGTGCTTCACTCTCTGGGTTAGAGTATTAACTAATTAGTCTGTGTCTGATAGAAGACAGCATACGTGCAGTTTGTGTTGATAGGGGCAAGTTCTAGGGCAGATCTCAGCTGGGGCGCTCCTGTCGGAGCTCTGGCAATTTACACCAGCTGAGACGCAGCCCTTGCATTGAGAGCCAGTTGAAATCAGTGAGAGCTTTGCCAGGGAGTTTAGTGGTCCCTGCGTCTGGTCAAGCACACACTTCGCTAGTAACTTTGGAAACTGATTTTGTGAGGATATACGGGGCCTAGCAGGAATCAGGCCCCACGCAAGCATGTTGCAAAGAGGATGTAATGCAGCATTTGGTAGTAGCAGAACAGGAAAGCATGCCACCATGGGTGACTCAATCCATGTACTTTATTGATTGAGGTTTGCTACTGGAGCAGACTTCCAACTGACAGCCACCTCCTCTACCCCCCAGTGAAAGGCACAGTGCTGACAAACAGCTAGTAAAGGAAGAGAGGAAGCGGGGTGAACAACGTTTTGAACAGAACTCTGTAATAAGGGCCTGATCCTGCTCCCATTAAAGCCAATGGGAGATAATGACCACCATTATTACAGTACCACTTTAGTGCTTATGCCTGGACTTTTCAATCCATTGCTTCATGTACTGAACTTCCAAGGCCCGGGCTTGCAGCACAGATTTGGGGTCACCGGGATTGCTGGCACGCAGGTCCAAGTGATGAGCTCCTTCTGGGATCACAATTGCAATGAGAGAGTCTGTGATGTTCCGAGTCACTCCACCTCCAGACCACGGGTCCAATCCGCCATTGCTATAAGGAAAGTCCATATAGCCCGTTAGATTACAGTTACAATCCCGAGTGACGGTACCGGTGTGATAAAGCTAGGGGTCTCTCAACAGCCACTGTTACGATCAGAGGCTCAGTATTCAGGATAGACCCAAATTCTACAACAAAGTCCCCCTGCTCTGTGGTGTTCTGCTTCAGCATTCTGCCACCAACTAGGTCCCAGACTGTCCCCTCCCACACGAAAAAGCCACAGAAAGCAACATCTCATGAGGACAACTCAGTGAAAAATTCAGTGCAAAGGTTACCGTAGATTGCCACACAAGGAGGGGGGCCTTACTTGTTGATCCCAGGAGATGAAAAGAAGCCACAGGGAAGGAGAGGATGGCCCTATCTGCCCACTCTCCTAGCAGAAGGGCTCCCTTGGGCCTGTACTTTCAGACTCCCACCAGACAATGGCAGCTCCTGGGGGCTTTGGCTCAGAATCCGAGGCAGTATTAACTTTCCCAGCTAACAGGGCCAGAGGGGAGGACAATTGAGAGTCTCATCCCCATGACCCATCCACTCCACATTTTGAAGGTTTTCTCCAGATTCATAGGGGCTAGAAATGCACAACCCAATCCTGCAAGGCACAGACTATCCTCAGCTGCCAGTGCAACTGGTGAGAGTTAAGCACATTCCCCCCCTTGGGGACATTCATCTCAGACAATGTGTCCTGCTAATGCTCTTACGCAGTATTTTTCATCCAGGGAGTATAGAATTTAAAGCACCGAGCGTACGGGTCAGATTGTGATACCTATAGCACCTTACACCATGAACAGTCCTACCCAAGTGAATGGGGCTACTTGTGGAATAACATAGCACTCAGTGGGGAGTAAGGGTATCACATTCTGGCTCAGTATGATTTGTATAAACTCCTCGGGGATCCATTTCTGCCCCCACTGAAATCCAGCTCCTCATGAGATAAAATGTGGCCATTTTTTCATAGAGTTCAGCAACAACATGCAACAGCTTAAACAGGAACTGAAGTAGCCTACATTCACTTAAACTTACTGGGGGAATCGAGCCAGCTTCGTTTGCAAATTCACATTCAAATGGGTATACTTTTCAACACCGATTGCCTTTTCCAGACAGAATAAGAGTGACTGTCGCAGAGTGATAGGTCAATATACTTCTATCTTCTCTTTTCCCTTCTGCACTTTCGGTACCAAGCTATTCATTTATTTATGCCTTTATTTTAATGCCTTTTCTGCAAAAGTAATGGAGCAACTTCCCTGTTTTTACAGATGGTTCAACTGGGAAAGGTCCAAGTTTTTCAAGTGCCCAGGAATTTTGGGTGCCCAGCGGGAGACACCATCCGGTGGACACTTCTGAAAATTCAAGCCCTACAGGCAACAATCTAAACCCCATTGAAATCAATGGGAGGCTTTCCACTGGCTTTGGATCAGGTCCAATGTGATTTACCCAAGTCCATAACAGCAAATCAGTGGCAGAATCAGGATTGGCATTTAAGAGTGTAATTCCCAATCCTGGGCTCAGCTCAGTATGCTACTTTTTCCCCCGTCCCTTCCATTCGACAACGTTATCTCTAGTGCCATCTCTCCAGATGAAAGGAGGAGATTTTGGACAGCACACCAAATAAACGCATAGTCTCTGGGGGTAATCCTTATTTGTTCACTCCCATTTAAATCAGGGGAACTGTTGCAAGAAGAAGGATTATAGCCCTGGGCCCTTTTATTTTATTTTATTTAGAATGCAAGTTTTAAGTTAAATCTTTCAGATACTCTTCCTGGGACACAAAAGACGTTTCTATTACATCTGTAGTCACCACGCAGCTAGAAATATGTTAGGTTAGATCTCATGCTGTTGCTTGGACAGCACAGAGGCCATTGAACACTTTGTGCACCTTCATGATGTTCTGTCCTGAGCCAAATCTGGTGCGTTATGGGATCAGATGCCTAGAGGGGCAAGGGTCTGTTATTGTCACACAGCCATTGTGTTTCATAAAAATATCACAGTCGATTACACTCAAAACATTTGTCTCCATCTCCAACTTTTGACCTTAAAGAACTACAAATAAAAACCGACTGTGTTTGAACTATAGTATTATAGTGTTTGTTTTTCCTCAGTGGAAAAATACAGAAAATCTTGCATCTCTCTCTGTACCTCTAATTTCAATACATCTTAATATGACTCAGGAGAAAAAAAAACATTCTGTATTTGCAAAACAAAAACGCATAGAGAGAGCTGCACAATAAGCAAAATGCATTTGATTTAAAAGGTCGCCTGAATCAGCCCAGTGCCTTAGCAACAGTAAGTTGAGTTGCTGAGAGACCCAAAATGTACATGGACTTGGATTTCTTGGTCCCACTCATGTGGAAATTAAAGCATGCAGCAGGAAAACAACACCATCCCTGGCTTTCATGGGAGAGTCTGGCTGCTCCATCCAAGGTTCTGGCCAACGTGCCAAGTGATGGCATTGGCAGCATTGATGTAGATTGAGAAACAATGCTCAGTAGGGGCTTTATCCTGGAAGGTGCTGAATGATCGGATCCTGATCCGCTAAGGCAGTTAAGCATGTGCTTAACTTTAAGCATATGAATAGTCCTATTTACTGCAATGCAGACTTAAAGTTAAGCTTAAGTGCTTTGCTAAGCATCTTGCAACTAAAGAGTCTGAGAATACAAAAGAATAAATTCAAGCAAACACTCATTTTTATCCAAGTGAAATAATATTCAGGAGTCAGCCATTCCTCTCCATTCACTACATGGTTACGAATGCTTCTTGAGGGACAAGTTCCAAAGCAAATCATCATCTACAAGGATCCTGGTGAGGCTTTGAAAAAAATCAAGTTTCCAGTGTAAAGTTCCTATTTCCCACCCCCATCATTAGTTCTTTATCCCTGCCATCATTGCCCAGTACGGACAGTACAAACAGAACTTCCTAAAGGGCCCTGACCCTAAAGAAACATCCCTATGAGAAAGCTCTCAACCCATTTTCTCAGACCAGGCTCATCTGTCTCCCTCACCCCCCACCCCTCCTAGGGACCAGGAGAAGCAGCTGGGAGGAGCCTTCACAGTCTAACATCATCACTCTGAAACTTGCCACTTGCAACAAAAACCTCTACAATCCCATGTGTTAACGGGATTAAAGTATGGTTTCCACCATGATGCAAGGTTTCCATGCCATGCCAACTGAAAAACTGAATAGCTTCCAATAAGACTCTCTGGTATGAAAATTGCTGAGGGTGAAAGAGTCGCTGCAAACACCAAGCTCACAAAGCTAAAGTTGTAATAAAGGTGCACTCTCCCGGAAAGCCATACCACATCGGCTGTGGTCTCAGTAGCGTTCACAAGCTGAGAGAATTTGATGGAAGATCTCCAAGGAGCTACAGAAGTGGTGCTGGGGATTTCTCTGAGTCAATACTGACTAATGCCTCAGCACGGTGCTCTAGGACACTGCTGCTAAGGGTGTCATCTTTTGGAGAAGAGGGCAGAAGTCATGACCATTTTTGTTTCTTATATATCTCAGGGCATTTTTTGTAGGAGTAGAGACATCAGTTCCAGTATCCTGGCCAAGTTCCAATCTGGGTAATTACATTCGGCCTGGAGAAAATCCACCCAACAGTTCCATTCCAATATAGTATGCTTCACTCACTGTCCTAAAACTGTTGTGTGAGTTAAAAAATAATAATATAGATAGATAGATATACCTATCTCATAGAACTGGAAGGGACCCTGAAAGGTAATTGAGTCCAACCCCCTGCCCTCACTAGCAGGACCAAGTACTGATTTTTGCCCCAGATCCCTAAGTGGCCCCCTCAAGGATTGAACTCACAACCCGTGGGTTTAGCAGGCCAATGCTCATCCACTGAGCTATCCCTCCCCCCTTTGCAGTTAAACAGATGTTGCATTTTACTCCATGTGGGGCTGCATCTCCATGGTGGGTGTAGGGATTCTTTGTGGCCCTTCAGGATAAAAGAGTGTGTGTGTGTGTGAGAGTGTGTGTGTGTGTGTGTGTGAGAGAGTGTGTGTGAGTGAGTGAGGGAGAGAATATGCCTGTCCAAAGGCAAACAGCTCCGCTTGTGGTCCAAAGCATTGTGTGTAAAGCACTTCTTTTTCATTCATTTGGTTGTTTTCAAGCTTTTCTGGTTTCAAATGCCCTGAGCTGGCATAAATGCTTAAACATGCTTTAAATATGTTTGTTTGCTCATCTGTCAATTTCTAAAGCAGAATCATACTGTACAATTTTGTGGAATCTTATTAAGAACAAGCAACAATTTGCAGGAACTAAACTAGAAGATTTGGGGTTGTTTTTTTCTTTTCTTTTTTTATCATTTAAAGAAAGTTTTCCATCAAAGCACAGTTTCACACTTTGGAGCAGATACCTGCTGGGGAAGGAACAGCAAGAGACCAATAAGAGAGAAAAGCAATAGGCCTTTGGAGCTAAGAGACCAAAGTCAGAGGCTGAAATCCTGAGACTAATCCCTGATTCAAGCCAGGATGCCTTACTTTTAAAATACACAGCTATTTACTAGGTCCCAAAGACTAATTCTGACTTTTGTTTAAAGAAGTTTCTTTTCTAAAGGAACTTGAACAATTTGAACGATAGCACAAGAGGTCTCTCGGGGAGCTGCCAGCGGTAGGCAATCACTGTGTGCTGCATCAGAAGGAAGACTGATCTCCCTATCAGAGTTCCTAGCTTTCTCTCTTTAATAATAAAGGAGGGAAGAAATCTAGAAAGCTGCTTAAGAAACAATGATTAATAGTCGTTTGCTGAAAGAGTTGTCTCGTGTTAGGAAAGGAGGGCTGGTTTGTGTGTTTGGGGTCTATACTACAAATTATATTTATACTCCCCTCATTTTCTTATTAAAAGAAGGATCATTCCCCATGTTACAGAGACTAGGAGATGGGCTGTAAAAGATTAGGCTACTGGTTTCTATATTGAGAGGTAGACTGGGAAAGAGGTAGGAGGTCCCCAGAATCTCTGCTAAAAGGGCCTGAGAATGAAACTGGTGAAAGAGGGCCAGAAGGAGACCTAGTAGACAGACAGAAGGGCAAGGAACCCTGGGAAGGGGCAAGTTGGTGTGGACTTGGTGACAGAGCTGACAGGCAGACCCGGGGGCTGGCAACAACCAGTATTCCTGGAGTACCCCAACAAGTGGGTGTGTGAGACTGGGCAGCCAACATCCCAGAGGGAAATTAAGAGACTCAGGCCTTGGCCAAGAGAACAGAGGGCTTGAGACATGACCCAAATGCTGGCTTCCATTTTCAGGGCCCAAAGCTAAGGCTTTCAAAAGAGGGTGGGTGGCAGCTCCCCTGCATCCAGCTGAGGGAGGGAAGGTTGCTCCAGCCCACCACAGAGGCTGTGACTCAGGGTGACAGATGGGGCAAAAAACTCCTGGTGTTGGAGTTTGTGTTTTTTAGACTTCCATTTACCGGGGAAGAGATGTTTCCTCACAGAAACAGAGCCACACTCCACAAAGCCATAAGCCAAATTCACCTTTCAGAGGTGCACATGCAACTCCCATCAACTTCCGCAAGAGCACCGAGGAGAGAATTAGGGAACGCTGGGAACTCCTGGCTACGGCTACACATTAGATGAAACAAAAAGTGTAGAGGCTTGTAGTTTTGGTGCTCAAAGCCCCAGATTCTATCCCCACCAGCAACCCATGTTGGTAGAGGGGGATTGTTACAGAAGCTGAAGTAAGCTCACCTGAAGATGATGTTACTGTGTGAACTGATGTTTTTCCCTCCATACACAGAAGGAATCCAGGAAGGGCGAGGCCTCACTTTCCACAGTTTGAAGCATTCTTCAGAGAAGACATGGAAGTTCCATTTCCTAGGCTCAAACATGTCATTGACACCATCTGTGCACATGGGCATCACCATTTCTGTGCAAGCCTGGAAGGCAGAGCAGGAAAATGTAACAGTGGCCTTTGTGGGACACTTTAAATATGCTAGTTGTGGCTATAGCTGTACTGTAAAGAAGGACTCCTTTCAATGCCTTACATAACAATAGATATTTGCTACATATTAAAATGCAGACACTGAGCCACAAACTGCTTGCCTTTCCCAGACCAGTTGTCCCACTGACCTCAATACCACTAGCCAGAGGACACATCAGAAGTGGTTCTATTTGAATAAACCAGAATCAATTTACCCTTGTAAATTTACATGGACTCAAATTCGGGGTTTTTTTGCTGGAACTTAATGGTTTGCTTCTAATAAAAATGTTGGTGTGAATCTTAAACCAATCGTCAAACACCCAGGAGCCCCGAGTTCTGTTCCCCGCTCTGCCACTATCTTGCAGTGTGACCTTGTGCAAGTCACTTCCCCTCTATATATCTCAGTCTCCCCACCTATAAAATGGGGATAATGGTACTGACCTTCCATTGTCAAGAGCTTTGTGCCCTAAAGATGAAAAGTGCTGTAAACATTCATTATTTTAATTCTTGACGATTGTCCCTACTGCATATCTGCAGGTCACCAGGACATATTACTCATGTCATTAAAAAGGTTCCACCCTATTCACCACCATATATACAAGCTCAAGATAACGTTCAGGTTCTGTTAACCGATTTCACAGATAAAGACTGAAATAATGTTTTAAGATCACAGTCTAATTCATAGAAATCATCTAACACAAACTCCTTTGTTGGGAAGGCCAGGACTGTTCACAAAAGCTAATGATAATCCCTTGACACATTCCTATTGAGTTCTAGACGAGCTTGATTTTGGAAAAAATGAGGTCTGACACTCAGTTGGTGCAAACGGCACAGCTTGTGTTGATTTCTCAGTGAAGGTATGCCAATTTACAGCAACCAAGGATCTGCACCCATATATTAACACAAGTTAAAAGATTCTGACAGAATGAATTGAGAATTCACAATAGCTTTGGCACTTTGGACATTTTGGAAAAGGTTTGTGTATGTACCTGATAGTACCAGCCCGTCAGCCCAAGATTTCTTGTGGCACTCTGAGACGTGTTAAGGCACGATGCAGCTCCTGAGTAGTTGTAGTAGACATTTACTGCCTGGAAAACATTCTGTAGCAATAATTTGTCTGGCAGTTTGGGATTCTTCAAGAACTTGCAAACTACCTATAGCAAGAGAAAGGGGGAAATGTCTCTAATGATGCCCTTGGCACAGACTGACCAAACCTGAGAACAAGTCGGGTATGGTGCACTGCTTTCTTTTGAAAGTTTTGTCAATCTGAACTACAGCATTTCTTGGACACCCTATTTAATTTTATGGTATATATTACCAAGACAATTATATTAAATCAGAAAAACAGAAATATAAAATATTACGTGTAATGCATCTGAGTTATTTTGCTGCTAGGACCCAACATTTTGAATTTCCCGATTTTATTTCAACTGTACAATCTTAATATTGCATTAGCGGTTTCTGCATCTGTGATAAATGAAGGGGAGAGGTAGTTCCCTTTTATGGACACCCAGCCAGCCCGTTAGCTATAAAATCCATCTTGGTAGCTGCTCTCTACTTGCTTTACCTGTAAAGGGTTAAAAAAGTCTCCAAATGAAGGAAAGGGAGTGGGCACCTGACCAAAAGAGCCAATGGGAAGGCTAGAACTTTTTAAACTGGGGAAAAAACTTCCCTTTGTCGGTCTGTTGTTGTTCTCCAGGGAAGAGGGGAGCAGTTGTGCTGTGAGAAGCTGGAGACCAGATGTGAAAATCATCGGATCATAACTAGAACTACTTATTTGAAACCCCCCAAATATGTAAGTAGATCAGGAATGTTTAGAAAGATGCGAGTAGGGTTATTTCCTTTATTTTTGTACGGCTTGTGGACTCCTCTGTGCTAACCCCAAATGCTTTTGTGTTGCTTGTAACCTTTAGACTGGACCTCAAGAAGGTTATTCTTGATGTTTAATTTTTGTATGTGGGTTTTTTAAATTTAGCAAAAGCCTAAGTTTCAGATGTATTTTCTTTCTTTTGTTTTTAATAAAATTTACCTTTTTTACTAACAGGATTTGGATGTGTGTGTCTGAAGAGGTTTGTGCACATGTTTTTTAGTTAGCTGGTGACAACAGATGATTTGTTTTCCTTTCTCGGCTCTTCCCCTGAGCGGGGTGAAAGGGCTTGAGGGTACTCCAAAGGAAGGAATTCCCAAGTGCACCTTCCTGAGTTCCAAGGGGTTTTGCATTTGGGTGGTGGCAGCATCTACCCATCCAAGGTCAGAGAAAAGCTGTAACCTTGGGAGTTTAATACAAGCCTGGAGTAGCCATTATTAGAGTCCTTGCAGGCCCCCACCTTCTGCACTCAAAGTGCCAGAGTGGGGAATCAGCCTTGACAGCATCCAATTCCCTTGCTTTATGAAAATAGATTATGCTTAATAATTAGTTAGAAAAGTTAATAAATAATTTGGAGTTCCTTTGGGATGAAAAATGTCTCCTAAAAATGTACGTTCATTGCATCTAGCACAATGGGGCTCCAATCCATGGCTGGGGCTTCTAGATGCTACTGTAATATAAATAATAAATCAACATAAATTGGGAAGTTTCTCATTTTTAAAGTGATACTGTTTTTAATCACTCTAGCAGGTTTTTTTATTTCTTCAGCTCTGGAAAACATCTTGGAAGGAGGCACTGTGCTGCTGGAGAATTAAATCAACGCTGGGTTTGGTTTGTAGCTCAGGGTTAAATCCTGGCCTACATCACACCATGATCTGCCTCCACACAGATTTCCCCCCTTCCCAAACAGAAGAGGTACGTGGCAGCTGACTCCTGAGCACAGCTCCCTTCTTATCTCCTGCTCTGTGGAGGGCTCTCAGTAAGTCTGGGACCTACATGAGGAAGGGCAGAGACCGAGCATCCCAATGGTAAGTGTGGGGAGGGCCAGGGCACATCCATCAGACCCCAGTCCCCAACCCAGTCTTCATTTGGGTGGCCAGGGGAATCCCTGTTAGTGTGGCTCCTGCCAGGGACTGGGGGAGATGCACCATGGCTCTAGAGCAGTTGTGAAGTCACATGGATTCCTGTGCAAACAGTTCTGGCCACCTGTAGACCTTCTGGGATCTACACGGTTTGGGGGCAGGCTCCGTAGCTCATTGTGGGAATGTGTGTGTGTGTGTTGGAGGGAGGGGGGAGTGTGCAAATCCTGTCCCCATGAAAAGATAATCCGGAAGAAACTCTGGGAGGGGATATTTGTGTAACTTTCCTCTCCCCTTAGCCTCTTCCCACAGACTTATGGGGGGCAGAGGTGTGCAATCCAGCCCCCTGCAGGGTGCGGAGAGTACCTGTAACTCCCCCTGAAGCTGAAGGGAGTTGCTGGTGCTCAGCAGAATATAGCTCACTTTGGGCTGGGAATAACATTCAGTAAGGGTATGCCTTCACTAGGAGGAAAGGTGTGTTCTTTCCTCCTGTTAGCTAACAGAGTGCCTAATACAAGGTAAAATCCTACCGAAGAAGAGGTAATTACCAGTTTTAGCACAAGTCAGCAGGTTGAAGTAGGGGCTATGGGGGAGCCTAGAGTTGTCTGTGACCTGCGAACTCAGGCAGTTCATAGTTTTAACATGAGTGAGCAACTCCAGGCTTCCCCATAGCAGTGTTAACACAAGTTAACCTCGACCTGCTAACTCCCGCTTCGTCACTAGGACTTTACCTTGTATTAGTGAAGAGGAGGCAAGAACATACTAGTAAAGGCAAGGCCTAAGTGTAAGTCACCAACTCTTCTGCCATCATTATTAAGAGAGCTTTCTGCCTTGGCTAGTTTCAGTGCTTAGTTTGTGCCAGGGCTTGGCAGTTCATAGCCCTGGCACCTCTGGGCTTGGCAGTTCATAGCCCCGGCACCTCTGGGCTTGGCAGTTCATAGCCCCGGCACCTCTGGGCTTGTTGCATCAGTTATGAATGTAAAAAAGTTGCTTGAGACCCAGCACCTAATTGCTTGAGCCCTGGCAGCTCTTTCATTACAAATGAAGCACTGACTAGGTTCACTAACCAGCTCTGCCCCTGAGCAGTTAAAGGCGCTGAAAGCTCACTCACTAGTGCCCTGGTGCACTGCAGAAGGTAAAGATGAGAGCGTAAAGAGCTGCAGACAGCCCTACTTCTGTAGATCAAGCACCGGGGTGGAAGCTGAGAGACCAATCACTTCTCAGAGGGCACCATCCACCCACACTAGAGAAAGGATTATGCAGACACATTCAGCTATTCTAACAGTTTTCTTCCCCCTAAGCTCTCAATACCCTTCTCACTCTCACTCAGCTAATCACATTAGTTTTGTCATTAGAGCTCACATTTCATAGAAGGTACCTAAACAGCTTAAACCACCCAGAGAGGTTGCATACATTAGATGCGCCAAGACAAACAGAAGGAAGGGTTTGCTATTTCATATCTTACTGAGCCACTGTGGCTCACTCAAACCTTTGAGCGCCATCTATCAGTAACAGAACAGCAAATTCAGGGATGGGAGTGAGGCAGTAATGTGCATCCTTCAAGCTGCATTTAGACAGATAAGAGACTGAAATCGAACTGAGGGATTTATGCTGATGGGAGAGCAGCAAAGGACAGGTGAATTTCCATTCTCCCCCGCTTTCCTTCCTTTTTCCTTCCACCAGTCAAGTCTATGGTTATTTTTGTATGCATGTTTCAGCTTTTGTTAACAAGCCAGAGCAAGTCAAGCCCACCTATGCACACAACATGACAATACACAGTGCGAGGACATGACAAGAAAACCACATTGAAGCACAATTCAGCAAATCCCTTACTCATCTCCAGATTCTGCTTTCCTTACTCACCCAGAGTAGTACCTCATGCTCAAATCCAAGGGACCATTCCTAAGGGACTACTCTGTATGAGCAGAAGTGCTTGGGTGAGTAACTAGTCCCATTCAAATAAACCACACTACCCACATTAGCAAGATTTTTCCAGCAGGATCAATCCCTTATGTGGCATATAAAACCAAGTCTGCTGACTAAAGGAGATCAACAGTTTGTCTGTTCAGAATTTAGGTTTAATGGAGGATAACACTGGTATTGACTTTATTTCTTTTACTTTTACCTACTGTACTTCATTGGTAATTCATAGCAGCTCAAAGTGACTCAGAGGAATTCATTGAGGGGTTAACAGAGTAGAGGCAGGCAAGACCAAGAAGAAGTGGCTCAGAGGCAAGAAGCATTCCAAATAAGTAGGCTGGCAAATAAGGGAGTGGATGTGGAGAGCTGCAGCCAGGAGGTCAGAACACAGCTGCAAAAACAGTCTAGTTCTAGCACTTTGGGCCTCTGAAGACCAGAGGGATTTGGAAAGATCATAAGAGGGAAAGGCAACAGCTGAGATCATAGCAGATGAAGGTATGAATAAGGAGGAGAGCCGAGGGGAAGTAAAGACCGATAGCGACTTTCCAACAAGATGATGAAAGAGAAAAAAAATGTTTGGGGCAGAGGATTGGCTCTACAGAGCCAACATGAGTAAAAAGGAATTAAACATATTTTTGACACTAAAATCAAGCAGCTGCGACTCCGATACACACAGGCAGCAGATCTGATGAGTCAGAAAGAGCCATTTTTACATGATCCCTTGGCAAAGCAGAGCTCTGGGGTGCAAGCTCCCGGCGGCGCTTACCTCAAGCGGCTCTGCACACTGCCCCGTCCGCAGGCACCGTTACTGCAGCTCCTATTGGCTGTGGTTCCCGGCCAATGGGAGCTGCAGGGGCGGCGCTTGGGGCAGGGACAGTGTGCAGAGCGGAGGCCACTGGCTGCCCCTACACATAGGAGCCAGAGTGTGGGGCCATGCTTCCGGGAGCCGCATGGCACGACCCCTGACCCTGCTCCCCGGCTGGAGCACCGGAGGGGGCCATGTGGCTGCTTCCGGGAGCTGCATGGAGCGGCCCCTGACCCTGCTCCCCGGCTGGAGCTCAAGGGCTGGAATAAAATGGCTAGCGGGCTGGATTCAGCCCGGGGGCTGTAGTTTGCCCACCCCTGTCCTAGATCATTTGGGTTTTCTTTACTTTTTAAAAGCAGCAATTTGCAGCAAATCAGCGTGTCCCAGCCTAAAGCTGAATCAGTTATAGAAGATGTAGACGCTCACTTACCTGAATGGGCCAAGCTGGCAGGGGCTGTAAGAAATCAGCTTTATACGGATAGTTCACCATTGCCAAATTTACCCATGTTTCAATTAGCCAAGCTTTCAACACAGCAGCATCTTGCTTGCTTTTTAATGGGCTGCATAAGTGAAATGCGCTGGAAAGCCACTTCAAACCTTCATCTAAGCAAGAAGACATACAAATTAGTGGTTAATGTCCCTGGAGTCAGTCATACATCATAAAGGCTATGGATAGCGAGGACCCGAAACATGCCCCTGTTAGTGCAGCTTCTCTCTTACCCTTTTCCCTTCCCTCGGTGTAATTAAGCCACTGAAGTTTCTTCACGTGTACACAAGCATTCCTGAGAGCAGAATCTGGTCCAGCGAGTATTTCAGTGAATGGACTACTCGGAGGTATGTGGATAGTGCATATCAGGCACATTAGGTTAATGTAAATCTGGCTGGTGTTTGGAGAACATAGTGTCTGACAAATTAACATAGTGAACACCACAAAGCAAGCCTTTCTTTTCTGAAAGGAAACATCGAACGTACCGGCTGAACGTACGAGAGCTGTAACTAGATAACTCACAGGACTCCGCTTGCCCTTCTCTCCCTTGTTTTGACTGGTTAAGAATCCCTCGGACTCAGTTTCCCATTTTTACAGACTAATTTATAATACTGGTTTCTCTAGTGGGGTCCTGAACTAGAACAGGAAAATAAATTTTAAAATCCCTGTGCTCTAGGTAGGCTGCAATCCCTTCTGATCTCTCCACCCTAGTGCTAAATGATAAATAGTGCAATGGCCAATTAAGATTTTCCCTTCCTCCTTTCCTGTTTATTTTTAAGCTAGGTTAAAAACAAAAACAAACAGACTACCTTTAAGGTCTGCTCTCCCATCCTCTTCCCTTCACCTTTTCTCATGAAATTAAGGATGTTGCCTTCCTTCCTAGTTGGCACCGCGCTGGAACGTGATAGCGATTCCTTAAGTTATGATCTGGAGCCAACTCCAGATCTGAAGTTTTCCCGGTGGTCAGGGAGGTTTGGACCTGGATTTTAAACCACTCTATAAAACTTGTACAAACCATATGCTATGCCAGCAGCAAGGTCTATTTTTAAGTTACCTTCCCCTTTTGAAAGGTCGATACTAGCAGACCTCAGAAATAGCATTTCAGTGGTAGCTAATCTCTTTTCTTTTACCCATTCCAGATAGAGGAAATAGCATAACTCTCTAGATCTAGACTAAGGTCTGCTATTTTTTAGTCATTTTAAACAACCTAGCTATTTACTTTGAAAAACTAGCTACAGTACTGAGCATGCAGATGTGTCATGGATTATGTTAGGCCATTGCAAGGTGTGGCCCTGGAAAACAAGGTAGACAAAGCTAGAACTCAAGCAGCGTGGAAATCTGGTGGTTGTTTTTTTTTTTTTTTGGTCTGTAGTTGTTTACTTTAACAAATGTCTCCTGTTTCTATGTGGTATGATAGCATCGTCTACCTGTGTCCGATTCCACCTTCACAGTCAACTCCAAATGGTCTCATTTTAAAAGTTCATTTTTTAAATGTAAAAGCTAATCCATAACAGCTGATGAAGGCTATGTTAAAAAAAATTAATGATACACATGAGACAATCACTCACACTTTATGCAATTTCAAATTTACAATGATTCTCTCTAGGCAAATTGCTTGAACTTTGTGATCCTTCAAAAAACATGATTTCTGAAAGGTCTTGCCAACTTCCTACCTGTGGAGGAGATGCGGTTAATGGCCCCCCAGGAATTCAGGATGCTCTCTGAGCAGCACTGCCCGCTCTTTTTGAAATCATTTGTCACTATACTGTAGAAAGTGCCACAGGGTACCAAATCCTCAAACTGCCAGATTGGGGCAGAGGCTGCAAGAGCTCTGTAGATGGAGACAGAAAGACAAGATTGTTTGGTGAAACATGTGCATCTAGCACCTCTAAAAAAATGAATCTCTGTCCTCATGGCAACACTTTCCTCACAGCTGCTGTCTTCTAATTAAAAGCTTCTAAAAATAGGTGCTTATAATTCATCTGTGACATTCTTGACTGAGAATTACATGAACAATATGTACATTTGCAAAAATATTCCACAAGATGGAGTGCAAAGCAAGTGGAAGTTTTAGCCATGTCAGATTATCTTTGGAAAATCATGGGAGACAGGAGAGATTCCAGAAGACTGGAAAAGGGCAAATATAATGCCCATCTATAAAAAGGGAAATAAAAACAACTCAGGAAACTACAAATCAGTTAGTTTAACTTCTGTGCCAGGGAAGATAATGGAGCAAGTAATTAAAGAAATCATCTGCAAACACTTAGAAGGTGGTTGCAACTGCTTTGGAAGATAGGGTCATAATTCAAAATGATCTGGACAAATTGGAGAAATGGTCTGAGGTAAACAGGATGAAGTTTAACAAAGACAAATGCAAAGTGCTCCACTTCAGAAGGAACAATCAGTTTCACACATACAGAATGGGAAGAGACTGTCTAGGAAGGAGTACGGCAGAAAGGGATCTAGGGGTTATAGTGGACCACAAGCTAAATATGAGTCAATAGTGTGATGCTGTTGCAAAAAAAGCAAACATGATTCTGGGATGCATTAACAGATGTGTTGTGAGCAAGACACGAGAAGTCATTCTTCTACTCTACTCTGCACTGGTTAGGCCTCAATCCGAGTATTGTGTCCAGTTCTGGGCACTGCATTTCAAGAAAGATGTGGAGAAATTGGAAAGGGTCCAGAGAAGAGCAACAAGAATGATTAAAGGTCTAGAGAACAAGACCTATGAAGGAAGGCTGAAAGAATTGGGTTTGTTTAGTTTGGAAAAGAGAAGACTGAGAGGGGACATGATAGCAGTTTTCAGGTATCTAAAAGGGTGTCATAAGGAGGAGGGAGAAAACTTGTTCATCTTAGCCTCTAAGGATAGAACAAGAAGCAATGGGCTTAAACTGCAGCAAGGGAGGTCTAGGTTGGACATTAGGAAAAAGTTCTTAACTGTCAGGGTGGTTAAACACTGGAATAAATTGCCTAGGGAGGTTGTGGAATCTCCATCTCTGGAAATATTTAGGAGTAGGTTAGATAAATGTCTATCAGGGATGGTCTAGACAGTATTTGGTCCTGCCATGAGGGCAGGGGACTGGACTCGATGACCTCTCGAGGTCCCTTCCAGTCCTAGAATCTATGAATAAGATGCTAGTTCAAACATTTTTAAAAATTTTGCAGGCTCTTAGTCCACGTTTGTATTTATTTGTACAGTAGTGTCTAGAGAGCCCAACTGAGATCAGGCCCAGTATACTAGGCACTTATATATATTATACACATACACACACACTAAAGAGACAGTCTGTGCCACAGAGACCTTACCATCTAAATAAACAAGGCAGACAAAGGGGTGGCAGAATTATTATCCCTATTTTACAGATGGGACTCTGGGGCACAGAGAGGCTAAGTGACTTGCCCAAGGTCACATGGAAAGTCTACTGTGGAACTGGGAACTGAACCCAGAGCTCCCAAGTCACAGGCCAGTGCCATAACCACAAGACAATCCTTTCCCAACAGCTATACAGTAAGCCTATATAGGGTCTGATACAATACAAAATAGCAGTGGCTGCCTAGGTCATAAAAGCCACAGAAGGCTATGGATGCTGGCTCTGTGGCAGGAGAGCGTCAGACGCTGCAAAGCAAAGTCACCAAAAGAACCTTCCTATGATGAACTGTGAAGCTGTCCAAGGAAAGAGAGCATCCAGTAGTCAACTCTTGGGACAGCTGGGCAGTCTGCTTGCTGAGGCAAAGACCACGTAAGTTACAAACAACTCTACTAACACCCTTGCATGTCTCCTGCAGGGTGGTAAGGTTGGCTCAAGCATTTGGAGGGCATATAGAGGAGCTTCTCTTACTTCTAGATACCAAGAAGAGAGCTTATGTTCACAATGGCATTGTGGGAAACCCTTACCCTCCAACACCATAGTTTATCCTGGAGCCTCTCTCTTTCCTCATGATGAGAAGAGGAATGTAAACAGAGGTGTTGAGTTTTCAATCCAATGCGACTCTTTGCTCTTCTCCCTACCTGACCTTCAGAAAAAAGAGGGCAGCCAAGTGAAGTGTCCTGAACTTGGCCTGTCCCATATGAAGTTCTTCCCTAGCCAGCCGAGGGAAAGCTTGCCTGCACTTTAAGCCTTGAGGGGTGAGGAGAGTCCCACGCGCAACTACATTTGCTGCATCAAGGAACAAAAATAGCCATTGTAAAACATATTGGCACTGGTCAGATATTCACCGAGTAAGAGTTTTGGGTTTTGCCAAAAATCCCAATCACTTTTTTCTTTTTGTTAATAAATTTTAAAAAAGTTACCTCGCCCCAGAGAGAGACAAAATCTTATCTGCCATCTGCAACTTTTAAGGACAATGGAGCCTGAAAAAAACCAGAAGACTCAAAAAGTCAACTTTCTTAAAAGGGATCATTTTAAAGTAATTATAACTTAATTAACAGGTTTACTTGAAAATCCTCAGAAAAAAGTCAACACTAGCTGCCAGCTTTCATATCCATTGCCCTTCCTCGAATCTTTGGAATCTCCTGGAGGGACAGAGTCACCAACACTGAGGTGCTCAAATGGACCAGCATACCCAGCATGCAAACACTCCCTCAAACAAAGACACCTCCACTGGCTTGGGCACGTGTGCCAAATGAATGATGGGCGCATCCCAAAGGACATCCTCTACGGTGAATTGGCATCTGGAAAAAGACCCAAAGGGCGCCCACAATTGCATTTCAAGGATGTGTGCAAGCGAGACTCAAAGAAACGGACCTGGATGTGGATCACTGGAAAGATCACACTCAAGACCACAGCCTTTGGAAATAAGAGCTTAAAGGTCACCGTAGTTACGAGAGGAAGCAGTCCAGCCTAGCAGAGGAGAAAAGAGCTCACAGAAGGCAGAGCCCAAAGGGTCGAAACATCGCCTTTAAATGTGAGAGCTGCAGCAGAGATTGTCTCTCTTGAGTGGGTCTCTTCAGCCACAGCCGCAGCTGCCATAAAACCAACTGAGTAAATTCGTTACCACTCAGGGGTGCATACCCATGGCGTCTCGAGACTGAAGGGTGCCTATATCTACCAACTGCTAGATTGTGTTCTGTAAATTTCAGAAGAGATTGTTATTGGCTGAAGAATAAAGTAAGAGATTGAATCCCTGTTTTAGATGAAAAATTTAACACAATCTTAACTCTGAGCTTTCAAGAGTGCCTCCACAATATTCATAGCTATAAATGCAAATTATAAATGCAAAGAAGGATTAGGTCTTTCTAACAAATCCCTCTATTTCCAGGTCATTTTTTATGTGCCATTACTAATCTGTGTTTAAGCACAGCAACTGCACTTACCCAACCACCACATGAGGGTATTTCATTCTAAACCAGGCTGCAAGCATCCCTCCATAGGAACCCCCTATGGCAATCACAGGGGCATTTAGGGCTCCTGGAATTGTCTCCTTTAAGTGCTGAACTAGTATCGCAAAGTCTGCCAGAGCTTGTTCCGACGTCAAGTAATTCAGGTGTTTGGAATCCTGAAACAAGAACATATTATAGAGTATGGGACAGATTTTCAAATACCAATCTTTGTTTTTCCCTTTGTAATTTGTGAGCTGCTGAAGATCACACCAGAGGTGGCTACATTTGGGCAACAGTTGAATTGATCTCTGCAAGTGTAGCTTGTAATTCTAGAAATCCCTAGAGGCTTTTGAAAGCTACTGTATAGAATCGATAGTTATAGAAAATGTGACTCTCCTGCCACACACCACACATACTAGTAAACATGGAGCCAAATCCTGCTCACCTTATTCATGCAAGTAGTTACTATGTAGTCAACCGGGTTACTCACACGAGTCAAGCCAGCAGGATTTACACTAGCATCAAAGAATTTTAAGGAGAAAGGAAGCAGCCAATTCTTCTCAACAGCCTTGAAACCAGTGGGTGATCGGAGTGGGAAAAGGCACTTACGCTGTAAGACTTATTTCCGAAGGGCAAGGATTCTCCGTAGTATCTGTGTTCAGCAAATATTAACATGGCATTAAGCTCTTCTGCCACATCCCACATAAAACCCTGGGAGGAAAAGGGATGTTTAAAACAATGAGCAGACACTGAATTATTATGCACTTTCATTTAAATATACCCATTAAATTCATACTCTTCAATAGGGAAGATGCCACTGACACCGTAACTAGTCACTCAACTATTGTCTAAGGATAGTAAAAGTAAAGAGAACTAGACAGGTACAGCATGTAATGGAGGCTTAGTAAATCACTGAAAATATTCACAGGGCCAAAATTCTGCATGGGGCAAGTAGGTACACAAAAAGAGAAACATATCAAGTGGAGGGAAAGTGCTATACACCAATATTGTGCCAGAGCCAGTTCAGGCAATGCTGCCATGACTGCTGTAGCAAAAGGGACGTGGCTCATGGGAAATCTATGAATAAAGATATACACATCTCAGGATTCTGATTAAGTTACAGGTGACATGAACGTCATTTTGCGGCAAACACTATATAAATAGGGCTTCTGATTTCGGTTTTAACTGATAAAAACCAATAAGACATCCCTGACATAAATAACCCCCTGAAATCAGTATTCATCCAGGAAACACTAGAATAACACTGGAACTGGTTACTTGTATCTAGGGGCTTGTCTACATGGAGCAGTAATGCATACTATGGGGGTGTGATTTCTAAAGCACAGTCACATGTTGTGCATTAATTGGTCTGTGCAGTCCCTGCTGCTGCATGCTAAAGCATATATGACTGTAATGAGTAATGTATATATTGCAGTATATACAAAGAGAAGGTCCCCAACCCTCCACCTCACCTGATTTTTGGATATCTATGTAAAACTCAAAAATTGCTAAAAATAAACCCTGAAAAACAGAAGCCCTGTCTATAGTCTATATAATAAGATTCCAAGAATGTTACTCCGAGGTGTGACGGTCTGAAGTCTAGATTATCTGTTGAGTCAGTGTGAAGTGATGGAAATAGCTACAAGCATGGTTGAAAGCTCTTTTTGTTCAGAACATCTCCAGGTTCTATCACCACTGGGATTTGAAATCTGTTACCATCCCATTTTTTAAATTCTCAGCCATTTTGACTTGAGGAATTATATCCATGCGGCAGCAAGGCATGTATCTATCCCATGGTGACAGTCCTAGACATTGGTTGAGTTACCTCTGATATCACAATCACCAGTCTAATTCTAAAGCTAATTTATATGCAACAATTTCATTGCTTGTATGGAGTGCACTGATGGAGGATTACTTGGCCCAACTACCACGTCTGTGTGATGGCACGGATGTTTAGTTATTAATATTATGTATAATAGACTGTACTCTGGTGATCATCAACTTACTATCAGACCACCTCAAAAAGAATAATGAATCTAGACTCAACTCCATTTTACAGATGGGGAATCTAAAGCAACATGATGTGAGGTGACTTACCAAAATCTCCTGATAACCAGTCCAGTGTCTCAACCACAATATCATCCTTCCTCTCAAGGCCTGATTGACAAGCCTTTTGCATTTACCTCAATGGGCTTTGAATCAGGCCCTAAACTCCTTTATTTTGTTTATTCTTTTAGCTCACTGTTCCTCAAGGCACACTATTATTTTAATCAAAATTACTGCAGACTTGGATTTTAAAATATGTATTCTGAGTCTGTCTCCCACTAATATGCCACACTGTAAAAGTAAGAGGAATATTAGAGAACAAAAATCTATTTTATACACACCGTATTATTGCAAAACCAGGTGATATCGCCTTCATTGCCAGTGTAGAAGAGAATCGATCCATTGTCTTTTCTCCAATGCTGATCTGCTACTAGGTACCGCTGTTGGAATGTAAGATCTTGCTCAAATCCAAAATGATCAATCTGTGGGGATGAACAGAAAACAAACAAACAATCAAATAGCTTCAGAAAGGTCTAATAGGGTCAAGGAATAAAAGTGTTGACATTCAAGATGAGATTCACCAAGATTGAAAAACTTAAACAAACCCAAGAATCTTTGACTCTAATACACTGAAATTGATTTAAAGTTTTTCCTCTCCAAGAGACAGTTAGCCAGGGTTGGATGAAGGCTGTACACTCAAGGCGGAAGTGAAATTTAATCTCAGTTACAAAAGATATATGCAGTTTAATAGCATCCTATTTAAAGGCGATGCTCTCCAGAAGTTCAGGCCTCCCATACTATTGATATTGCAGTAGCATCTAGAAGACCTGCATCAGGGATCAGAACCCCATTTGCTAGATGCTCTCCAAACGTAGTAAAAATACAGTCTTTGTCCTATATTGCTTACAGTCTTGTGTCATGTTCTGGGGTGCAATCCAAACAGTGAGTGGTTGCGTCACAGCCTGCTGTCACCCTAGGTGCCTTAAATGCTCTGCTGCTGTGGCTCACAGCCTGGACAGCAACACCCAGCAGACAAGCACGCACTGAGCATCTGTGTATTAAGCAACTCTGGCTCAGTACTGATTCCAGCCATCTGCTTGTTACACCCCAGCCACACTCTGGTATCTATTAGCCTAGTGGCTAATTAGATGGTTATTATTAGTCTAGTGACTCCGACACTCCCAGTCCCAAAATTTCCCAAAACCATGTGCTCTGTAATGTCCAGCCCTCTCCTGGATAATAAGGTTCGTTCGTTCCTCTAAAGAGAGGAAATTCACAGCGTATCACTTTAATTCAAACAGAGCACTGGGTTGGTTTAGATTAAAAGTAAAACAAGTTTATTAACAAAAGGAGGTAGGATTTTAAGTGAGTTCAAGTATAAAGAATACAGTTAGAAATAGTTACAAGCAAATAAAGATGAAAAATGCTTTCTAGAGACTAAGACTTAACAAAACTACACTCTTGATTCAAAGTAAAATTCTTACCGCACGCCCAAAGAGCAAGATGGCTGACTCCCCCACCCAGTCAAGATCTCTCCCCAAAGATAGTGAAACTTTGAAATGGATTCTTCTGAAGGTTACTCCCCAAAATAAAGTTCATTCAAGCCGTGAGGAAGGAGACATGGGGTCTGGTGATAAAGGAAGTTCCATGCTAGTTTCTTTCCTGATGATATTTGCTAAAATGTATATCAATCTGTTCCTGCCCTCTCCGATGCAAATGAATGGCCTCCTGATGTGATACTAATTGACTGATGACACCTGGCTGGAGATGCTGGCTTGTCCTTTGTCTGTGAGAAACCAGTTTACCCAGTCCCCAGACTTGTCTGGTAAACATATTTTAGTTCTGCATTTCCTTCATTATTTGTATGGTCCCTTGGGCATTTACTGTACCTACCTCAGGAAAGACTATTAATGATCAGCATGTTATTCGTTTTTCAATGATACCTATCAGATACAATTTATGACATTAATGAATTGGGGTACACTGGTCAGGCCAGCAGAAACTCGCTACCAGATACCAGTAAACCCCTTGCCCTCTTGCACTGGGATGCTGTTAGGGTCACATCTCAGTAATGACAAGACAGAAGAGCTGTATGAAATAAACAAATGGGGCAAGGTGGAAGGCAGAAGAGTGAGGGGGTAAATGGCAGCGCTGGTCAAAAGTTTTCTGACAGGTTTTTTTGTTTTGGTTTTTTTGGAGAGGTGTGGCGGGGAAAAATACAAAGTAGTTTTTTCAACTACATGGAAAATTTTCAAGGAATTATGTTTCCTAGAACATATTTGATGGAATACTGAAAACCCAAAACTGAAGTTTTCCTAGCTAAAATATTTTTGGTTTTCAACAGTTTACAGCTGAAAAATGGTAACGTTTTCATTTCTGATTCAGAGTTTTCCACTGAATGTTTTCAATAAAACATTTTTCCTCCCATTTTTATCAAAATTTTCCACGGGGTGAGCAGATGTTTTTCTACATAAAACAGCAGTAGTATTAGCTTTATAACTGGGGCCCTACCAAATTCACATCCATGAAAAACTTATCTTGGACCGTGAAATCTGGTCTCCCCGTGAAATCTGGTCTTGTGTGTGCTTTTACCCTATACTATACAGATTTCACAGAGGAGACCAGCATTTCTCAAATTGGGGGTCCTGACCCAAAAGAGAGTTGCAGGGAGTTGCAATGTTATTGTGGGGGGGGGGCACAGTATTACCACCCTTACTTCTGTGCTGCCTTCAGAGCTGGGTGGCTGGAGAGTGGCGGCTGTTGACTGGGTGCCCAGCTCCGCAGACAGCAGCGCCGAAGTAAGGGTGGCAATACCATATCATGCCATCCTTACTTCTGCGCTGCTGCTGGCAGCGGCTCTGCCTTCAGAGCTGGGCACCTGCCAGTAGCCACCGCTCTCCAGCTGCCCAGCTCTGAAGACAGCGCCGTCAGCAGCAGTGCAGAATTAAGGGTAACAGTATTGGAACACACACCCCCTACAATAACCTTGTGACACCCCCCCACACACACACACACACAACTCCTTTTTGGGTCAGGATCTCTACAATTACAACACCATGAAATTTCAGATTTAAATAGCTGAAATCATGAAATTTACAATTTTTAAAAACCTATGACCATGAAATTGACCAAAATGGACCCTGAATTTGGTAGAGCCCTATTTATAATGTTGAAAATTTACCCTGGATTACAGAGGTGAAATTTTCAGCCTTCATTTATGCTACTTTACACACACACACAAACATTTATATATATCCTTCCCCCCACCCTTTGGAGAGCCTGTCTACATTGGGAAACAGGGGTGATGCTCTGAAGGCAGCGCCACTGCCAGCAGCACCAGCGGAGAAGTAAGGGAGACATACTGAGCACAAGGAATGGGTCGGGGCCTGGAAATAACAAATGGAAGGGGAGGGAGCATGCAGGGAGAGAGACGGGGAGGAGCATGCATAAGGGAGGGGGGATCACAGAGGGAAGAAGCGGGGCTTTGTTAGGGGAGGGGGTCACAGAACAAGGAAGGGGAACATGCATAGGGGAGGGAGGGAGCATGCACACAGGAGGGGCTCACAGAAGGGGAGGATCCATAGGGGAGTGGGACTTGCAGTGAGGGGAGGGGAGGATGCATAGGGGAGCAGGGATCACCAACAGGGGAGGGAGGCATAGTTAAGGGAATGGGGGGCACAGACGAGGGGCGGAGAGCCCCAAACAGAGGTAATGTGGGTGAAGGGATAAGTTCCAGATGGACAGGCACCCTGCAAAGAGGAGGCGGGCACATGATGAAACAGCACATGGTTGGGAGCACAGGGGATGCTGCTGCTGCGAGCAGGGCAGGCAGGGGCCATCGGACATTGTGAGGGGTCCGGTCCCACCGCCATGTCTGTCCGAGGGCTGCCAGGAACTGAGCCAAGCTATACCTCGGGGCAGCGGGCAACGTGAGGTGTGCGGGGCTTACTCGAGCCCCAGGTCCGGAGCCCAGGGTGGCTCCGGGGTGAAGGCTGCGAGAGGCCAGAGCCCTTATGCTCTCCCCAGGCCTAGCGTGGGGACGGGGGAGCCTCGGTGCTCCCATATATGCCCACAAGGTGTATAGCGCAGCCCCTCCCCCAATTTTTGGTCCAGCCCACCTCAAACTCCCCTCCCCCCCCCACCAGACTGGCACCACCCCTTCTGGGAAATTTACCAAAATAGCTATCCTGGAATATCTCCTTATGTGGACATTCTTATTTTGGTATAAGAGTGTCCACATGGGGGCTTATCTCAAGATAACTATTCTGGAGTAGCTGTTTCAGTGAATTTCCAGTCATAGCCAAGTCCTAAAGCACCATCACTTTTGCTTTAGAAACCAGTGCTTGATGCTTCCGCCCTGGGAGTGAGGGTAGCCTGTAACTGGATCACTCTGAATTATTCTAGGAGAGAGCAGCATCTTTGCTTCATCTCTCTCTGTCAGTCTCCCTGCTGGACCAGTAGAACAAGGACATTGGCAGTAGCTTACGGCGTGCTGCTGGTAGAAGCCTGACATCTGCTGGAATGAACATCTGTGCCTGCTGCCTTCTGTCGTTAACATACAGCCTCTACAGTCCCTCATGTGCCCCATAAAACCTGGGCTCTTTTAACATGGCCTTTGTTCTGAAAACATTTGCAAGCGGATATAGTGCTCACAGAAGCGAGGCATCTGAGCACTAGATCAAGCCATGTGTAGCATGAGCAGCTGCTGTGCAAACTTCCCCATGCAGCTCAAATGATGAGCCTAATTCCGGACTACCAGAACCCAGATATTCCAGTCAAGATAGCAAACTGCATGGCCTTGTGCGCAAGCTGTTTAAAAGGTTGGTATGTACGAACAGGGAATGGGATAAGACCCCAGGCTTTGCTTGGGCCCAAGATCAGGATTTGAACTTAAAAAAAATAAATAAAAAAAGACATTTTAAAATGGTTTATTTTCAAAACCTAACAAGTTTGCAAAAAGTCTTTTGCCGCACTCACTTTTGGGGGTGCGGTTATTAGAGATGGGCCTTAGCAGCACTGAACATAGAGGAAGTTTAGATCCAATGTGCCTCAGGCCCATTCTGCTATTCATATAATGCCATATGTGTGCATTTTACCTTATAGACATGGAAAACAGAGACAAGGTCCTTGCCTGAGAGTTTATGAACTAGATTTAGGGTTTTGACTGGTCCAAAAATAACTGGCCAATTGACTGGTTAACCATTGGTCAAATAAAATCAGAAGTGGTCAAGTATTCGATCCTTTTGCTTTCCTCGATGTATATATTTTTCCCTGCACCCTTTGTGAATAGTTTTAGTTCTGGTATTTAATCTCAATTTGTTTGTTTAGAAGACAAGCAGCTGCCAAATCCATAGTTTCAGTTTGGGGTCATTATCTCATACGATTAGTCTTGGTGTCTAACAAAGAAGATCAGACATAACTTTAGGATAAGTCTGAGCCATTTAGCGTTCATGTAAATATCAGAAAGCTACACCAAGGAGGC